AAATTGATATTCTAAAATTTAATTTTTCCCAGATTTTTTCCTTAAATCAAGCAAATCTCTCTCTCTCTCCCATTCCTCTTTATCGCTCTCTCTCACGCTCAATTCACACAAAAAGTATCAATTTTTCACTGTATCTCACCAAAATATTAGATAGTGTCCGATTTAAACAAATGTCACATCTCTTTGTAGATAGATAATATATATCACAAAGAAAGATAATATATTACAAAAATATTCCTCTGTATCTCTCTCTAAAATAAATATTATATAGATAGTATATATCACGAAAATATTCTTCTGTATCTCCATCTTTCATTCAAGCAATACCACAAATACGAATCATACAAATTCAATAGTCAATTTTATTTTTTTTCATAATCAACAAAAAAAAAAGCATAACTTGCAAAAAATCTAATTTAACAAAGAAAATATTCTTAACATGTAAAATAAACAAGATTAAATTCAAGTTATTGGACAACTCAGATATCAAGAGATATATTAAAAAAAATATGATTAACGTTTAAAATATACAAGATTAAATTCATATACAAACATGAATCATACAAATTCAAGATTTAGTGAAAAACACAAAACAATAATATTTACTAAATAATTCAAATCTAAATACCCGATAAAAATGATACAAAATTATAAACGAAATAAACGATACAAAATTATAAGTAATACTATGAATACGAATCATACAAATTTAATATTTAGTGTACAACACGAAGCAATAATTTTTACTAAATAATCCAATACTAAATAACGTTTAATTTAAGAAGATATACTAGGAATATAAATAATCGATGAGTATGATATAAAATTAAAAGCATTACTATAAACTAGAATCATAAAAATTCAATAGTAAATTTTGTTTTTTTCCATAATCAATAAAAAAAAAACATAGCTGAAAAAAAATCTAATTTAACAAAGAAAATATGATTAACATGTACAATATACAAGATTAAATTTAAGTTATTGGACAACTCAGATATCAAGAGATATATTAAAGAAAATATACAAGATTAAATTCATATATAAATACGAATCATACAAATTCAATATTTAGTGAACAACACAAATCAACAATAGTTACTAAATAATCTAAATTTAAATATCCGAGAAAAATGATACAAAATTATAAGCGAGAGAAACAATAAGCAATACTATGAGCACGAATTATACAAATTCAATATTTAGTGAACAACATAAAACAATAATCTTTACTAAATAATCCAATACTAAATAACGTTTAGTTTAAGAAAATATACTAAGAATATAAATAACTAAGAAGAATGATATAAAATTAAAAACACTACTATAAACTCGAATCATACAAATTTAATAGTCATGTCGTATCTTTTGAAAATCGGTTGAATTTTTGATACTTATATTTGGTCATTTGACAACATCTGCAAACTTAGTTTTTTTGTAGGAGTATTGTTTTAATTTTCATTCTATTAGTCATGAATTCTGTTATTATTAAAATAAAATTGATTATGAATGTTAAAATCGTGGATTTTGAATCAAAAACAGAACATTGAATATTGCCAACTGATATACTTTTTCAGATGTTTGAATTATTATGTTTCAGTAATTATAACATAATTTTTGTGGCGTAACAATTTAATGTGGAAATATATTCTATGCATGTAGGTTAATGTTATAAAAAATACTAGCAGACTCATTTTGTTCGTCGTTTACTACAATGTTGTATTTTACTTTATATTCATGTATGGACAAATATTTGTAACTAATTTATAAGTAACACTGTACCTTCAAACACGAACAATTGTCTACATTGGTGTAATATAACTACATTTACACTTGGATCCACTTATCTTATAATGAGTACTAATTATCTCTATATTGGTGCAAACCAACATAAATAAATGAGATCTTTTATTACTAATACAAGGTTAAAATAAATTACTACTAATTTAAACAAAAAAAACATATAAATAAACTACAACTGATACAATTACAAAAAGTAAATTTGTAGTAATCATGGTCACAATGATGCGTAATTACATAAAGAAAAAGTAAAATCAGTGCTACATATAGAATGAGAATACAAAAGAGGTAATAAAAGAAAAGATTTGTTTCTAGAGCAATATAGAATTTAGAGGATGAATTTCATGGTTTTTAAAGAAGGAAAAGGAAAGCGGAGGAGCTTTCTATAGAATTAAGGTGTGAAATCTTAAGTCGTTGTAGGGTTTTGATGTTTTTGTAGGCAAGCGGTTCTGTTGAGTCGGGTTCTTGGTCTGTATTCACTCATAAACCAAACAGACTACTTGTTTGTCTGTTTGCCTCCGGTTCAATCAGTTTGGAGTCGATAATCGGATATTCAATTTTTTTTTTTGTATCTTACAACATATTTATATACATGATTGAAGTGACAAATAATTTTATGTGATTTTAAAATTAAATGAAGATATTAAATACTCGGTATACTTGTGATGAAGCCGTTATTTAAACAGTGATTTTATGAGCATATTTCAGTTATCTAACTCAATTATTTTATTTCATATAGCTTTGTGATATTGCCAACCTTATAAACTTGGAGTTCCCCGTTCTAAATATTTTTGACTACAGTTATCTATGGTGGTCACTTGATGGTGAACTTTATTTTGATTCTGAAAACTTTAGAGATACTATTAAAACTAAAAACACTGCAACATAGAAAAATTGTGCGAAAGCACTGATGTTTATATTTCTCCATCATTATGTTCACAAAGGGTTGAAAAATGAATACATGACTGTGAAAGATCCTTTAGTCCTCTGGCAAAACCAAAACGATAGATTTGATCACCAAAAACCTATCATTTTTTCAAAAGCTAGGCACAAGTGGTTCAACCCACAATTCCAAGATTATAAAACTGTACGAGAATATAACTCAATAATGCATAGAATCACGTCTAAATTAGATTTGTGTGAATAACCTGTGACTGATGCTGACAAACTAGAGAAAACATATTCAATACCTACACTGATCTCATAGCATGTCTCTTAGTAGTTGAGGAGAATAACGAATTACTAAAAAAAAACCATGAAACTCATCCAATTGGCCACCAAGCATTCCTAGAAATAAATGTCACATCTGGGAATGCTTGGTGGAGGCCTAAAGTCCTTCACACCAAATGAAAAATGGAGAAATGCCCCACACTATCAAAAGTAGAACAACCATCCACACCACCAGAAGTGGAACAACCAAAACAAAGAAAAGAAAAAGAAGAGTTTACCGAATAAACTCTCTAAGAAAACTGAAGATGTTTGTTACACATGTGGAACGAAAGGACACTGATCACGTACATGTTTTTATGCCAAAACACTTGCCAGATCTCTATCAAAAGTCCAAATAAAGAAAAAAAATTGATAGAGACAAGTTTTGATGAGGGGACATCAGGAACCGCACTCATCGATTATCCATATAATTTTGCTAATTTGGATATTTCTGATTTTTTTGTGAATCCAAACGAAAATGAAATGGAGAATATAAATTAAGGATGCTATCTTGTATTTTCTACAAATAATTTGAGTTTATGTTTGAAAGTGTTGCCTTTGTATGCATTTTAGAAAATATTCATGTCTATGTATTTTATTAATAAAATTATGTGTATTTTTCATATAGAGGTATGAATCATGGTAATTCATTGGTTAACTTCAAGGAGAAATATGGACATATATGTCTAGCAAATAGTGCTATGACTCACACAATTTTTCGTGAAAGAAAATATTTCTCTAAACTAATAATATCTAAAGTTAGTTTAAATAAAATATCAGGTCCCGTAGTCTTGATTGAAGGCTCTGGCAGAACAAATATGATGCTACTCCAAGAAACAAAACTATTTATTAAAAATGCATTATACTTTAATAGATTCAACAAAAATTTACTTAGTTTTAAATATATACATCGTAATAAATATCACATTGAAAAGACAAATGAGTATAACATAAAGTACTTATACTTCATTTCTCTTGTATCATGCGAGAAAGCATGCATTAGAAAAACTATGTACTCTCTTTTGGGTTGTACAATACCAAAAGAAAATTTGTAGAACCAAATATTATGATGCATTAAAAGTGATCTAATCCAAATAATTTTATGTTTTGGCATAACCGTCTTAGTCATCCAAGATCAATAATGATTCGTAAGATCATTGATAAATTCACGTGGACATTCTCTAAAGAACTAGAAGATTTTTTTACCAAGTAATTATTCATGTTATGCTTGTTCATAAGGTAAATTGATTGTCAGACCATCTTCTTTAAAATTAATTTTTGAATCACTTAATTATTTTACAGGGAATTCAGGAAGATATATGTGGTCCATTATACCCTCCAAATGGGTCATTTCGTTATTTCATGATAAATGTTGCCTTGAAAACTATGCATATAAAATTTTAAACTAGGGTAAATATTAGTAATTAAATTTGACCAAAATTATCCAAAATTCATATTGTGAAGGTCTTATTTTTTTCCCAATTTGATCAATTTTAATTATTGAAAATGTAACATCAACTATTTGAAAATGTAATTTAATAGTTGATAATTGAAGTTGACAGCTATATGAATGAAGAAAAAAAATACAATTTTACCCTCTAAACTATGGATTTAATTTTAATTGACCCTTTATATTATTAAATTTTTTATATTATTCCCTCAAATACTTACATTGAATTTTGTAATACTCTTGTCGAAATTTGAAAATGAGAGTACCCTCCAAAAGTCCAAAGTCCAAAACCTTATGGTCGGAATATATATACTCGTATCGTTCGGCCTTCTGAATTCTGATCAAATTACAACACCCCGTCCCCAGTTCTACGATTTATACCCTCCTTCTTGATCTCAATTTCCAATTTTTTTTCTTCAGAATCCTCAGAGAAACTGATCTCTCTCTCTTGTTCATCACCAACCCAGAAATCTTTGCCCAACAAGTCCCCATTCTTGATCTTGGCATTTTCTCGAATGCATGGTGTGCTTCGTTTTCGTTAATCATGGAAGATATTCTTGGAATTAGCCCACCAGAGGAAACAACTCTCGGACGCATACTCTCTTTTGTCGACACTGAATCTGCTCTGCAAACCTCTGTGATGTCAAATGGGTGTTGGAAATGCTTCTGGGATACACCCACCGGCCGTCTCGACGCCACAAGAAATCTTTTCAGAAAGCGCGTTCTAGCTCACCGTGATCACTCTCCGATCACCAAACTCTGCTTCGATGCGCTAACAAAAATCGACACAGTTCTTATAGAAAAGTGTATACAATATGCCTTGATCCACCATGTCGAAGAACTCGACATTCGAGCGGTTTGTGATGAGGGATTCGTCGAAATGCCATCCGAATTCTATATTAGCCAGTCTCTGAGAGTGTTAAAGCTGAGCAATGCTACTCCTACCAGATTGATTTTGAAACAAACAGTGGCCTTAACGAATTTGAAGTTTCTTCAACTCAAGAACTTCTTGTTTACGCATCAGAATTTCAATTCACAGATCTTTTCTGGGTGCCCAAATCTTGAATCTGTGGTTTTGCGTAAATGTGTCATTAGTCCTGGCGATAAACTGAAGGTTTTGAATATTTCAGGGCAGAGACTCAAAAAGATAGAGATATTACATGGCAGTTTTCCTTGGGAATATGTTTATGATCAACAAATAGAGATTTGTGCGCCAAGACTCGCTTGTTTTAAGTGCCAAGGCACTGTTCCTGAAGTGTGCTTTAAGGGAGCCATGCCTTGTTTAGACAGTTTGTACATAGACTTGAGCTATCCAAGTTCTTATGAAACGGCTGTTGTGGAAGAGAGAATGGAGACGAAGATGGAGGAGATTTTGATTAACATGGTTGGTGATCTCTGTAACATGATATATATCTTTCTGTCCTGGAAGACCATTGAGGTACTAATGAAATCATGAAACTTCCAATCAATTCGTCTCGTCCAATATTCATGTTGTGTCTCATCCATATCGTGCTGTTTTGTGTCATTATATTTGTGTTGATTAATTATTTAATTATGATAATTCATACAGCGTTCCACTGGAAAAAAATCATTTATATTTTTCTTCTATAATGCCAATAAATAGGTTATTGATGTCTATTACTAAACCCATCCATTTCTTATTTGTATTATATAATCGCATCATTTGTGGGTTCTTATCCCGATAGTTTCATTGACACTTTCCAAACAATGACACCTTTTTGTATTTATGACCAAGTACTTTGAAGCTCAAGTGAAAGTGTCTCTCTGTCTGTCCTATAAAAAGTTTTCATTTAAGAAGTAAATTCTGTCATTTCTTTGACACTTTCCAAGAGATCTTTCTTGGTTTTGTTGTTGTGTTGTAGGGGAGTGTGTGTGTTGGGTGGGGGGGGAGGTGGAAAAGGGGGGACACGGTTTGAATTGAAAAATAATATCCGTCTCGGAACTAATTTATGACATTAGCAATAGTTATTTTCCATTCTTTTTGAGCTGCAACTCAAGTTACTTCAGTTCTATGTTCTGCTTTATATTTGTGAAGTAGGCAATGAGAATATTCTGGGAATAGCGATACACAAAAGGGAAAGATTAGTGTTGGGATCCAATTTATGTTATGTTACTGCCTCCCTTAAATTAAAAAAAAAAAAAAAAGCAAGATGATATTTGCTAAGGAATGTGTTTTTTCTTGTTCCCAGATTCTTAGTAATATTCCCAATCTGTGTGAACGTGGAGCCTCTACATTTGGCAATTTGAGGTCTCAAAGTTTGAGGGCACATAATAAACACACAGACAAGAATGGATCTTTTGATGCTATGATCAACACACCTGGGAGCTCTGCTGGTGAGGAGTCCTTGGTCTCGGATCTCCCCAAGGTATAGACAGATATTGTGGGTGCAGAAAGTTTGTTTCTGTGTTTTTCACATCGCAAAATCAATATAAATTTTTTTATTTTGTGGTCCAATGGGACAAGAAGCATTTCAGGTAGATAAGGTCATATTTCTTGAAGGTTTAAAGAGAGAAATATAATTTCATAACCTCATTTTGTCATGATCTCAGAATAAACTTCAGATATATGATTGCATGACCTCATCAAGTCAGTTACGACTCGTCATCGTCTAATGTATTTATCTTCTTTTACAGCTATTCAGCAAAAAATAACAGGAAAATTTTTTTAGGTTCCTTTCTTCTATCTGCAATTTGCAGAGCTGCCTAACAAGTGATTCCAATTTACAATTTTGTTTTCTTTACTTTTATTATTACATTTAGGTGTAAATTTCTAAAACATTAATGCTTAAAGACTTCCTAGTACAGAAACTATTAGGAGAAGAATTTCTCCAAAGTAGCAATTTTTCCCCCAGCTGGTTATTTATCCATCATTTTGTCATTTACAGGAACACAACCTGCCTACATTTTGTAATTTGAAGTGTCCAAATTTGGCAGCCAACAGTAAAGGGAAAAACTTGCTCAGTGTACCATCACGTGTTATGTCCTACTTACTCCAAAGCTTTCCACATGCAAATTCTATAACTTTCGAGTTTACTGAGGTGCTGATTTATCTTTTCACTTTATTCAGTAATCACTTATATTACTACCTGTTTTTGTTTTTTGGTCAAAAGCCAAAGAAAACAACATGCAGGAAACAGAAAAGCAGAAGAAGAAAGGGGAGTTAGCTTTAATGTCTCAAGTTCGTGTTATATTTCTTTCTTTCAGGTCTCATCTGATGAAGAAGACTAATGAGAACTGGTGGGTGTTGGCTCCATGACATATTAGCAGCACTTGAGGATAGGTATATAGGCTTTGGTCTTTTGCACTCTGTCAAGAATGCTGCTTGTTGGAGAGAAAATGGTCAGTACTTCTGATATTGGTGATCTAATCTTTGTACTTAATTTCATAGCCATAGTGTTAAAAGTAGGAAATGTCCCTTTGAACATTCTTTCCTGATGGGGATCATAGGTAATATAGGACCAGCTAGGTTTACATGAACTGTTGAGTTTTGACAGTTTGTGCTTGCTGTAAAGTCATTCATGATGTAGTAGCTAGTAGGCTTAAGAAATTTGCATATCTTTGTTCCTTTCAGTTGAATTTTTCAATCGTCCAATTGTTTAAAACAATGTATTCCCTTAGTTAGTTCCCCATTTAATAAGTAAAAAATTTCTTGGTTTTAGTCCCCAGTGCAATTCCTACAGCTGCAAGAATGAATGCTCAGTAATTCTTTGCTGCATTACCGATAGATCTTTATGTTTTAGCTATACCAGCAAAACAGGTAGCATGAGAGATGGAAGAGCAAACAGAGTAACCGGGCTTATAGAATCAGAATGAGCAAAATCCATTTAGAACATCCAAGGACATAAAAAGAAATTGAATAGCAAAAGTTAATGAAAACAGATCTGATACAATAAGCAGAGGAGGTGGGATGATCATAATTCAGAAACTAAAAGAACTGGAAGCATAAATCATTGAGGGAAGGAGTGGTAATTTAAATGCCTTATCTTGAATTTGAGCTAACATAAAACTTGAGTTTCTCCAACTTATTGCAAATCAAGTGGGACAAATCAATGTCACAGTGTCTTGTGCCTCTATATCTCCGTGGCTGTTCTCTACAGAATCCTGGTGAAAAATTAGTACAGTTTGGTTGCAAATGAGCCGTTCTTCCTTTGCTTATATAAGAAAACCATATCATATAGCATGTGGCGTGCAATACTGTTTTGAAATCCCTCTTCCTCTCATCTATACAGAACCCATGTAAAGTAATCTAATATTTCCAAGAAAAATGATTAGACTAACCTTGTTTTTAATGAATGATGTTATAGTTCTTCTCAGTGGATAAGGATGTCACAATGCATAATTGAATTTGATCAAAATTGAAATCAAGTCACCTAAATCTATTCTGAATCATTGTTTGATTGATCTCTCTATCTCATTTTCTCTTGTTTAATTGAATTTACGACATGTTTAAGAATGAACTCCATAGTACAGGTTAACTTTATCGGTTCTAGACCAAGGATTTTTGTGAAGTCAAATTCATGCTATGGCCTATACACCACTGGCTCAAGCTTAGTGCCGGAACAACCAACTTTTACACCACTGAGATCACAATTATATTACAAAGATATTAAGCGACATTTTTTCTGTTTTTTTTTTTATTTTTCTTTCAAAGCTTCTTCTAGCACAACAAATATAAATCTCATTGAATTTGAATTCTGCAAAAGAAAATGAGAAGAATGACCAATGCGTTTTCTCCATTTCATCTAGAGTTCTTCATCAAGGTGGATGTTGTTGGAGAGAAAGTTGTCAGTATTTCTACTTGTGATATAGGTGATCTCGTTGTTGTATTGAAACTTATAGGCTCGGATAGTGTTAAATGTAGGAAATGTTCCTTCAAACATTATAGAAAGTAGGGTCGAGTTAGTCTTACTTCTCGGATCCTTTGTGCCCAAGTCATTCATGAACGTAATACAGTAAATGGTGAGAATTATGGGAGATTTTACACCCTTTATATTTCATGTTGCCAAATCTCGAAATTTTCAGGGTCTGTAATTGTCAAAATGTACAATGCGGGAGCATAATCGTACAAGAAGTCTAATGCTTGGTAATTTGTTTAACCTTTAAGTNTTGAAATTTTCAGGGTCTGCAATTGTCAAAATGTACAATGCGGGAGCATAATCGTATAAGAAGTCTAATGCTTGGTAATTTGTTTAACCTTTAAGTTGTTTTGATTTTGATTTTTCATTTTTATTTTGGCAAGTTTCAGATTGCGGGCATGCCAAAGTCCAAAAGGACTTAATTATTAAAAACACTACAACTTTATCCATTCGAACTAGCGTGAGCCGATTGAAATGAAGTGTAAGACTACCTTTATGTTCTTTTTTTGCTTTGGAGATTAAAGACTTAAAACTATTTCTAACAAACCATAAAACCCCAAAAAAAAACGACAGATTGCAATTGGAACAAACAATAAAGTAAATAACAAAGCAGGATTGTGGTATGAACTACTTAATTTTTTTTTTTTTTTTTGCTTTATGAATGAAAAAGGGTGAGGCAAGGAAGAGTGTTCAACAACCACCCCGTTAGACTCTCATCGATGAGATTACAACGTTCCTGACCGCGCCTAGAACACCTCTCGAGATTAGACTTAACAAGGCTAACATAGCGGCTAATCACTGAACCCTAATGAAAACTCTAGGACTCGAACTCCCAACCTTTGGATGAGGAGTAAAGTCGGCACCACCACTAGACCACCTTAGTCGATGGTATGAACTAATGTATTTAAATTGAAACTAAAAGAACTTACTGGAGTGATGATGAAAGTATTAAGTAAACCAAAACAATCGTAAACAGTGCATACAAAAGCTTTGGTGTGTTGTTTATGGTGGTGTTGATCGTTAGATATGTAATATGATTTATTTTAATTAAGCGGGTTAATATGTATTATAAATGAGTACTCGTTGAGTTGAATATTTATCTTTTTATTAAATAACACAAGTAATAAAATTAAATAAATATATTAATATACCAAAAAATACACACATTATTATACCAAAAAATAAATACATATATACTAATACGCCAAAAACACACACTAATACACCACTCATGACCCACAGGGCGACCCACAACCCATAACCCCATAGACTAGCCCATGGGTTGACCCACAACTCATGGGTCGACCCATGACCCATGGACCAACTCATTGCCCACAATCGACTCGACTCATTATTTGTGTATTTTTTTTTATTAAATGTGTTTAATTTTTGTGTTCGTATATATGTGTATATTTTTGGTGTATTAGTGTAATTTAATGTATTAATGTGTATATTTTTAGTATATTATTTTGTGTGTTTTGATATATTAATGTGTGTATATATTTGTATTTTGGTGTACTACTAATATGTGTATGTATATTTTGATGTACAAATGTGTTTATTAAAAATTTTAATTATTTTATAGATTAATCGGTTTAACCGAACCTGTTATAAATTCAACCTATTATAACCCATTTATTACTTAAGTGAAAAATATATTGAGTTTATTTTAGCCCAATTCAATTTAATCCAACTTATAACCAACTCAACCCATCCATTCGCCACCTCTATTTGCAGGTATGTTTTCCCGTTTGTTTGTGTGAAGGATCAAATTGAAATAGAAGGTAAAATTTAGAGACCAACTATGATATATACCCCCCTTTTTTTTTCTATATCAATAACACCGCGACACATAATGTTGTTATACTTTATTCTTTCAACCAAGATTGATGACTATAAACTATTTTTCAATATGATACTCAAAAGTATTTTTTTTACACCATAATCTTATTTTTAATACCATTATTATAGATAATATTAGAAATAATATTCCTCTTATTGTAATATAATTAACGGTAAATATTCTAAAAATATATGTTTCTGCCTCATAATTAATTTTTTTAAACAATTTAGAATGTTTAATTTCTATGTACTTTCATCTTCCCTAGGCTAACAACGTTGTTCCATCCTTGCTTGGAAATTTTACAAAACAAAAACAAAAACATTTTGGACTCAAATATAACTTTCTTCTAAATATTTGCCTTTGTTGAAACTATGCCGAATGCTCAAATGAAAACTTTAGCTTTTGATTTGCTCCAACACTGGTCTTATTGGGTGCTGTAGTTTTGACTGGTTGGTATACACCTCTGTCTCTGTCTCTCTCTCTGCTTTTGTTTGTGCACCAGTTCTTCACTTCTACCCAAACCAGTTACTTCAAAATCCTCATTATGGTTCAAGTTTAGCAATTACCACACAACAGAAGATATGCCCCCTCAGTCCTTAGGTTAGTTCTACAATTCCTCCACTCACCAGTGCATTGCTAATTAGGAATTTTGTTTTTGGGTAAATGTCAACTAGGAATTGTTTTTCGAAAAGTTTTATGATGTGTTAATTTCTTCGAAAAGGTTTATATTCCCTGAAAATTAGTAATATCTGCATTACAACCAATTTTTTATTTGTTTATTATATACTGTGTTATAATTTGATGCTAACCCATTTCATACAAGAAAACATCTCTTGGTGCTAATCTATCAATTGATTAACAATTATCTTCCTTTTTGTTATTTTATAATTTAAGCTTCAGCACAATATTAAATATTTCTTTTTTCCAAATATAGGTTTGTTTCTTAGCATGGATGTTTGTTTCATTGGTATGGGAGGAATAGGTAAATAAATTGGTATGACCTTTTGCACCTGTTCACGCTTTGTAATATTTTCTTTGCGTTTTCTCTGGGTATGTGTTGATGTATGAAGTTTTAAGCCCATTTTTTTTTTCTTTTTATTGTTAAATTCTAAAAGTAAGGACATAAATGTCAAGTAAAAATTGACAAACCGTTGAAAAACACTGCATTGTGGCTGTGGATGCCCACTTCCCATTAATTCATTGAATGACATGTCTCCCACATTTCTACTAATACTGCTGAAGTTTATCTATAAAAAGACTTCAAAGTGTTGAAAATGAAATATATTGTGCGGGAATAAATCCATGGAAATGGTCACCACCTTGTACGGATGGAGACGGTGGCAAAGAAGCCTTTGTTAAACCTGCAAGACAAGAGAAAATCTAGGTGAACCAATGATTGGAGGTGGTTAAAGGGATTTCGATGATTAAGTCAGCAAACAAGTCGAAGATATGTATAGAGTAAATGTGTTGGGATTGAATTCTCATACATAGTACTTGATACCTTTATTTATAGTGATATTGGAAGAGATGTTCCACATAGTCTCGAACTTTAGGATGTGATAGGGTGGATCTCATCACCAATCCCCTAGATGCTTGAGGAAGAATCATACCAGGATGATGAGTCCTAGATTGTAGAAAGAGATGTGCTTGTTGGGAGGCTTTGTTTATCAATAGTCCCTTGATACTCGAAGTACAGTTTTGCTAGGATTCTAGGTCTTGGGTTAATCCTTAACTGAATAGGACTTGTCCGTGGCTGCCTCTTGGGCTAACCCACGCGTGACCTTCACGCCGAATT